GACGGGACGGGAGCTCCTGGGAGGCGGGAGGGGGTGCGCAGAGGACCTGGGGGTGGGGGCAGCAGCTCCGCCATCTTGGGGATGAGGGACCCGTGACAGCGGGAGCTTATTCAGGGAGGGGGGCTCTGGGCGGCGCGTGGGGCCCTGGAGGGAAAGGGGCGTGGGGACAGTTACTGAAGAGCGGAGGGAGCCCGGAGGAGAGACGCGGTTTGGCCGCTGGCAGGGCCTTCCCAGTGTCAGGGTGACGGGTAAGGCCGGGAGAAGAGGCGCGTTCAGAGTGAGGAAGCGGAGCACGGGAGAGTGGGAGGAAAGATGGTAGAGGGAGGGGCACCGGCAGGGCCGTATGTAGATGTAGATGGATCTAAGGGTGGAGGAAAGCCAGGGCTGGTGGGAGGATTGTTTTGTAAAAGGAGGGGATTGAGATAACCCTTGCCTTCAAGATAAAAAACCCTAGCTTGGCCAAACCCAGGATGACAAACTCTGGAAAGAAAGAGGCCTTACCTAGGAGAATAAGGACTGGGGGTCGGGACCCAGGGCTGTGGTGACACTCTCTGGAAAAGGAAGAGGGGGCTGACTAGGAGCCAGAATTACAAATGCCAGAAGGAGGTATCCACACTCTACTTTGAAAGGAGAGGCTAGAGATGTTGTAGTTGGGATGAGGTTGGACTGGTCAGGAAAACTGGCTACACGAGATCGGGGGCCAAATTAATATCTAAGAGGGTAAAACAAAAGTTAGTGCTAAATTGTAGAGATGGGGAAATGTGGGGGCCAGGCACTGTATCACTTTCTGGGAAAGGCAAGGCCGTGGAGATCAGAATCACAAGACCCGTAAGAAGTGATGAGATCAGTGGAGAAATGCAGGAGATAAAAGGGGTGCGTAATGGGAGACGCCAGGATTGGTGGTTACTTCTAAGTTTTAGGTTGAAGCACAGGCTGGGCGTAGATTGAATTTTGTGGGTGTGTTTAAATCCTTTGGAGCCTAGTCTGTTCACTTTGTATCATGCTTTTCTTCTGTGCTTATGTTTGACAATTTTGTATGGTCTGATATTTGATGCTTTTAATCTGATGCTTCTTGTATATCCTAGGTGTAAAACCAGACTTTGTGGTTACAGATAAAGAATGATGGGATGCATAGACTTCCATCTTAACAGGTGGCCTTAGGGACATGGATATTTGCTTTTTCAGAAGTAATTGCAACCCATTACTCCAAATTTTATTTACTTACTTATTATTTTTTGTTAATCCTCAGGATATGTTTTCCATTGATTTTTTTAGAGAAAGTGGAGGGAGGAAGGCAGAGAGGGAGGGGGGGGAGGGAGAGAGAGCGAGAGAGAGAGAGAGAGAAACATCGATTCATTCCCTCCTGCATGTTCCCCACAGGGACTGGGATCAAACCTGCAACCTAGGTACATGCCCTTGACTAGGAATCAAACTCACAACCCTTCCATACTTGGGCTGATGACGCTCTAACCACTGGGACACCAGCCATGTCCCAAAATTTATTTTTGTTTTTTCTTATTTTATGTCTTTGCCTGGAATATCAAAACAAACATAAATAAACATGGACACCAACCTAATTGAATTTAGGGCCTTTAAAAGGCCCTATTTACAAGAATACATTTCCAGAGACTGGTCAAATTTACTAAAGTTTGGATTCATTTTGTATTAGTGCTTTCAAAAACACATAACTAAAGTTTGAGTGTATCATTAACAAAACTTCATTTTGAAGAAGGTTCTTGAATTTCTTCCCAAAGTTGAAATCTAAAATATTAAGACAAGATTTTGAAGTCTTTTTGGGCTTTAGAAGTAAAAGGAAGTTGCCTTATAGCTATAGTGAGCTTCTAGATTTAAGTTAGAGAAGTGGCAGCTGCTTATTTTTGTTTTCCTACTTAGAGGTTGACTTAATCCTAATCTTGACATTTGTGTCAGATTTATGGAATAGTACGATTTACAGATCATAAAGAGACATTATGAAATAATCTTTATTCCCCATTAGACCTCAGCCCAGGAAAATTTTCAACTAGTTGATCTCTGCTTTGTACTAGTGAGTTATGTTTTGATAATGGTCTCCTGATTGAGTTAAAGGGACCTGGAAATGGCCATGTAGTAGTTTGCAGCTTTTAGAGCATCACACATTATTAGATGTTGCGTCCGTTACTGTGGGGAGAAGCTAATTTTTTTCTTTAATTTTAGTTCCTTTCATTTTTGACTGCCTGTTTGAGAGAAGGCCAACTGGAAAGGGTCACCAAGGATGACCTTAATAACTGAAGCAGAATTTTCCCCCTTCTGCTCCCCTTCACCCTGCTCCTGCCTCCCCCGTCCCGGGCCTTCACCTCTTCGTTGTTTGAATCAATGGACTATGCACATATCCATGTAAGTTCTTTGGTTAATCTCTTCCCGCCCTCCCTCCTTTCTACTTAGAGTCAATTTTGAGATAGGAAGATATTTTATCTGTATTTGCACCAAGTGACTAGTGCACAGTACATACACATGGAAGGGCTATCCTTTTAATCAAGTTGAAAATTTTGTATAGTATTTGGCTTTGTTTTGGCCTTACTCTTTGCTCAGTTGTAAATTATGAATGACAATTTTTGTATGGATGCCCTGGTTTCCATAGTTTAAGAAAATGTAATTTGTTTAAAATGCCAAAATGAAATGGGCATTTTCTTTTATGAAATTTGCTCATTACCACATTAATGTAGTGCTTCAATTAGGAATTTTACAATAAAATCTTATTAATGAGGCTGGTAATTCAGAATTGATCATAATTCACACATGATCTAGACCAGTGGTCGGCACACTGCGGCCCCTTGAGTGTGGCTCTTCCACAAAATACCACGTGCGGGCGCACACGTATAATGCGATTGAAACTTTGTAGCCACACTCAAGGGGCCAAAGAGCCGCATGTGGCTCATGAGCCGCAGTTTGCCGATCACTGGTCTAGACTTAAAGTTTACCCTTGGATACTTGTGAAAAATAGTTTAACTTCTAGAAACAAATGATATTAAAACAGTAGTTTACATTAAATAACCTATATACTTCCTTGGCCAACAAAATTATACAGAAAAGATAAATGGGAACTGGAAGAGGACCTTAGAAGAGAAATGAATAATGATTGAAGGAATGCAGACACCATTTTATTTATTGATGAGACACACACACACACACACACACACGGATTTATTATTCTACTTAATTATGCATTCATCAGTTGCTTCTTATATGTGCCCTGAACCCACAACCTTGGTGAATGGGGATGACATGTAACCAACTGAGCTACCTGGCCAGTTTTATACACACACACACACACACACCCAATGTATACACACTTTAAATGATTATGAAGTCAGAGTTTATTAACATAGACTTCATTTTCAAAGTTTAAAAGAATCTACAGAAATGAATAAATTGTCAATGTCTAAGTTTCTAAAGTGATGACCATTTTGGTCCAGGCACTGCTGATAATGCGAAACAGTGGAATCGCAAACATCAAAAATCATTTCATTCAGTATTTGTGTGCCCCCAATTTATCGACTGTTGCTGGTTTTATATTGTAAACTTTTATCTTTTATGTATTCCCATAAAAAAAGTCTAGTGGCAATTTAGGATAAATTTTCTTTGTTCAAAGCTTAGTCTGACTTCAAATTATTTCAGAATCAGTAAACCAGAAAAGAAGTGAAAATTAAGTGAGTTAGCTGTTAAAGTGTGTATACATTTATATATATGCTTACAGATATATATAATGGAAAGATACATTGAGGGATGAATTTTAAGTTTAAGAAAATGGACAGGAAAAACAAAACAAACAAAAAAATTAAGAAAATGGACAGGATAAGCTAGTCCCAGAATCTTAGAACTGGGGAAGCATTTGAAACTTGGATGACATTATAGGTCATATAGAAGAATTTTTTAAAAAAATACATTTTTATTGATTTCAGAGAGGAAGGGAGAAAGTTAGAAACATTAATGATGAGAGAGAATCATTGATTGGCTGCCTCCTGCACGTCCCCTACTGGGGATTGAGCCCACAACTGGGGCATGTGCCCTTGACTGGAATCGAACCTGGGACCCTTGCGTCCACAGGCTGACACTCTATTCACTGAGCCAAACCAGCTAGGGCTAAAATAATTTTTAATATAATTGACAGATAAGGAAACAGTGTAAAAGGTAACTTGCTGTGTAACAAACCAACTAAAATTTAGTAGCTTAAAGAAACCAAGTTAGCCCTTGCCTTGGACCAAGGACCAAAGGGTTGCAGGTTCGATTCCCAGTCAGGGGTCCCAATCCTTCCCATGTGGGAGGCAACCAGTTGACGTGTCTCTCTTACAGGATGTCTATCCCTCTCCCTCTCCCTTACCCTCTCCCTCCCCCTTCTCCTCCTTCTCCCCCTTCCTCCCTTTCACTCTCTCTAGAAATCAGTATATTTTTAACTTATTTATTCATTTAAAATGTATTTTTATTGATTGCATAGAGGAAGGGAAAAGTAGAGAGAGGTATGTGCTCTGATCAGGAATTGAACCATGACCTCCTGGCTCATAGGTCTATGCTCAACCACTGAGCCACGCAGGATGGGCCAGTAATGTTCTTTAAAACAAAAGGATCCGCCGAACCGGTTTGGCTCAGTGGATAGAGCGTCAGCCTGCGGACTCAGGGGTCCCAGGTTCGATTCCGGTTGGGGGCATGTACCTTGGTTGCGGGCACGTCCCCAGTGGGGGGTGTGCAGGAGGCAGCTAATCGATGTTTCTCTCTCATTGATGTTTCTAACTCTCTATCCCTCTCCTTTCTTCTCTGTAAAAATCAATAAAATACATTTTAAAAAAAAAATTAAAAAAAAAATTAAAAAAAAAGGATCCAATCCAGAATGATGCATTGAATT